CATCATGTCAATATGGACCAAACTCCCTGAGGAATGCTTCCAGCACCTTGTTGAATCTATGCCACCAAGAATTGAGGCAGTTCTGAAGGCAAAAAGGGGTCCAACCCGTTACTAGCATGGGGTACCTAATAAAGTGGCCGGTGAGTGTATAAATAAGTGGAATGGAGTAAAATTGTAATGTCCGTCATTTTTTTGCGTGAAAAATTGGGGATATGGATTGAGAGACACTGAGATACTGAGTCTCACGCCCAACGGGTGAGACTTTAACAGCTCTGTAAATAATGTTACCTTTAATTAGAAATCTTGTCTATCTATACTTTACTGGTGGGATTACTTTTAAACAACTTTTTACTTTCTACTCTTTACATTTTAAAAATATACTTGTGAGTTTTGTTTCCTTTAAGCTCATTTTTATTACGGCCTGTTGGTATTCAATAAAATAAAAACCATCAAAATAATTAGTTTCATCCAGACGATTAATCTCTTTGTGGTTGGACTCGGTGCTGCCCCAACTTGTTGCTCACCTCATACCAAAGTAAATAGTTTTTCAAGATGAAATAAAGTTAAATGTGACTCTGTTACCATTAGTTATAAAACTAAGAAAATAAAGTCTAAGGAAGTTTTCATCCAGAATAGTAGAAAAATGTTCCTTTAATAGAGTAGAGCAGTAAAGCTTCTGGCCTTCACATGTTTTCCTGCATTACTTTTACTTTTATACTTTAAGTAGTTTTAAAAATGGTACTTTTAGACTTTTACTGGAGTAAAAAGCTGAAGTTGATCCTCTAACTTCTACAAAAGTATTTTTTAACAGTAGGATTCATACTGGAGGAATAAACATCAATACATTTAACATTCAAAAAGTTAGATGTACACATGGATCAGCACCGTCTGGCTGTGTTTTCTTGTTTTAGTGCTTATTTAGTGAACGTCTTTGCATGTCGGCTGAATATGCTCTCATGTTTTGATCTTTTCCTCCTACAACCATGAAGAGAAAACTTGCCGTTTGTTCTCTGTGGCTCCTGATGAAGCTGACGGATGAAATCCTTCTTCTGTCTCTGCAGCCAAATATCCTCCGCCTGCTGTCACCCTCATTCATCAAACTGATGACTCGCTTGTTGTGTCGTGGAAAAGCGATACCGATAAAGGCACCTACCGACTTCGTTACAAAAGCAGGGACTCTTCCACCTGGACTGAGGTTGGCATCTAGATCAATTAGCACCAGGTCTCCTCTTTTTTAAGATGCTGGACTAAAAGACATGATGGTTTAGGGTAGGCATCCCCAAAGTCAGTCCTAGGGGGCCGCTGTCCTGCAGGTTTTAGAGGTTTCCCTGCTCCACCTCAGCTGATTTTACCTGAAAGCTGATTAACAGGCTTGTGCTGGACTGTAATCATCATTTAAAAACCTCTAAAACCTGCAGGACAGCGGCCCTCCAGGAGATTCCTGGTTTAGGGACTTCAACCTGTAAAAGTTGGACGAACTTAAAACTGATCAACTGATCAAACACAGATTTTAGGTTAGAAAACAGGATGAACAGAAACCATTTCAGTGTTTTTGCTGCCATGAGTTTTATTTATTAACGCTTTCAGTGCTGAAATATCTTTTTAACTCTATTCTGTGACTTTCTTGGCAAACACTGGAGGTAAGGAATGAGTGGAGCAGGAAGAAACTAAATTAGGGATGCACGATANTAGCCGCCTTTAGCTCATCCACAGTGTTGTGTCTTGCATCTCTCAACTTTCTCTTCACAATATCCCACAGATTCTCTATGGGGTTCAGGTCAGGAGAGTTGGCAGGTCAAAGGAGCCCAGTTATACCATGGTTAGTAAACCAGTTACCAGTGGTTTTGGCTCTGTGAGAAGGTGCCAGGTGGTGCTGAAAAATGAAATCTTCATCTCCATAAAGCTTTTCAGCAGATGGAAGCATGAAGTTCTCCAAAATATCCTGATAGCTGCATTGACCCTGCCCTGGATAAAACCCAGTGGACCAACACCAGCAGCTGACATGGCGCCCCAGACCATCACTGACTGAGGCTACTGACACTGGACTTCTGGCATTTCCTTCTCCCCAGTCTTCCTCCAGACTCTGGCACCTTGATTTCCAAATGACATGAAAAACTGAGCAACAGTCCAGAGCTGCTTCTCTGTAGGCCAGGTCAGGCGCCTCTGCCGCTGTTTCTGGTTCAAAGGTGGCCTGACCTGGGGAATGCGGCGCCTGTAGCCCATTTCCTGCACACGCCTGTGCACGGTGGCTCTGGATGTTTCTACTCCAGACTCAGTCCACTGCTTCTGCAGGTCAACCAAGGTCTGGAATCGGCCCTTCTCCACAATCTTCCTCAGGGTCCGGTCACCTCTTCTGCCACTTTTTCCTTCCCACTGAGGCGCCTTGATGCAGCAGCACTCTGGGAACAGCCTATTGGTTCAGAAATATCTTTCTGTCTCATTTCCTCTTGCTTGAGGGTGTCAATGATGGCCTTCTGGACAGCAGGCAGGTCGGCAGTCTGACCCATGATTGGGTTCTGAGTGATGAACCAGGCTGGGAGTGTTATAGGCTTCAGGAATCCTCTGCAGGTGTTTAGAGTTCATTTGTTGATTCAGATGATCAGGTGCATAGCTCCTTTAGAGACCTTTATCATGATATGCTAATTTTGTGAGATATACTTTTGGGTTTTCATGAGCTGTAAGCCAAAATCATCCGTATTAAGACAATAAAAGACCTGAAATATTTCAGTTAGTGTACAATGAATCTAAAATATATGAATGTTCAAATTTTATTATTACATTATGGAAAATAAGGAACTTTATCACAAACTTTATCACAATATGCTAATATATGCTGTATTTTAGGTTTCAGATCAAATTCCTATAAAGGAAGTTCAGAACTACACAATCAAAAACCTGCTGCCATTCATGGTGTACAAAGTTTCTGTGGCCTACCATCGAGGATACGGCCTCTGGAGTGACTGGAGCTCAGAGGCAACCGGACGAACGCTGGATAGAGGTAAAACTTCCCCAGCTCACAGCTTTAAAAGGGAACCTTCACCAGATCTGTGACCCTGAAAGCCACTGCTGGTTTATCAGGACGCTAATAAATGATGGTGGCTCTTTAACAACTTTTAAAACATGTATTTTAAACAAAAACGTAAGAAAATGGGATTCCAGGTCGCTTTAGTCTGAATGCTGTTGTGGGAAAAAGTTATTCAACTATACAGTACAGTTATATAAATATAAATGTATTCACTCCGTCGATACTTTATTCTTTGCAAAATAAAAGGAGAAGAAGACATCAACAGCCGTCACAGCATGATGTTTCTGGACTAGACNGCCTTTAGCTCATCCACAGTGTTGTGTCTTGCATCTCTCAACTTTCTCTTCACAATATCCCACAGATTCTCTATGGGGTTCAGGTCAGGATAGTTGGCAGGTCAAAGGAGCCCAGTTATACCATGGTTAGTAAACCAGTTACCAGTGGTTTTGGCTCTGTGAGAAGGTGCCAGGTGGTGCTAAAAAATGAAATCTTCATCTCCATAAAGCTTTTCAGCAGATGGAAGCATGAAGTTCTCCAAAATCTCCTGATAGCTGCATTGACCCTGTCCTGGATAAAAGCCAGTGGACCAACACCAGCAGCTGACATGTCGCCCCAGACCATCACTGACTGAGGCTACTGACCCTGGACTTCTGGCATTTCCTTCTCCCCAGTCTTCCTCCAGACTCTGGCACCTTGATTTCCAAATGACCTGCAAAACTGAGCAACTGTCCAATGCAGCTTCTCTGTAGCCCAGGCCAGACGCCTCTGCCGCTGTTTCTGGTTCAAAGGTGGCCTGACCTGGGGAATGCGGCACCTGTAGCCCATTTCCTGCACACGCCTGTGCACGGTGGCTCTGGATGTTTCTACTCCAGACTCAGTCCACTGCTTCTGAAGGTCCCCCAAGGTCTGGAATCGAACCTTCTCCACAATCTTCCTCAGGGTTTCCTCTTCTGCAGCGTTTTCTGCCACTTTTTCCTTCCCACTGAGGCGCCTCAATGCAGCAGCACTCTGGGAACAGCCTATTGGTTCAAAAACATCTTTCTGTGTCATAGCCTCCAGCTTCAGGGGGTCAATGATGGCCTTCTGGACAGCAGGCAGGTCCCAGTCTGACCCATGATTGGGTTCTGAGTGATGAACCAGGCTGGGAGTGTTAAAGGCCTCAGGAATCCTCTGCAGGTGTTTAGAGTTAATTTGTTGATTCAGATGATCAGGTGCATAGCTCCTTTAGAGACCTTTATCATAATACGCTAATTTTGTGAGATAGACTTTTGGGTTTTCATGAGCTGTAAGTCAAAATCATCCGAATTAAGACAATAAAAGACCTGAAATATTTCAGTTAGTGTACAATGAATCTAAAATATATGAATGTTCAAATTTTATCATTACATTATGGAAAATAAGGAACTTTATCACAAACTTTATCACAATATGCTAATATATGCTGTATTTTAGGTTTCAGATCAAATTCCTATAAAGGAAGTTCAGAACTACACAATCAAAAACCTGCTGCCATTCATGGTGTACAAAGTTTCTGTGGCCTACCATCGAGGATACGGCCTCTGGAGTGACTGGAGCTCAGAGGCAACCGGACGAACGCTGGATAGAGGTAAAACTTCCCCAGCTCACAGCTTTAAAAGGGAACCTTCACCAGATCTGTGACCCTGAAAGCCACTGCTGGTTTATCAGGACGCTAATAAATGATGGTGGCTCTTTAACAACTTTTAAAACATGTATTTTAAACAAAAACGTAAGAAAATGGGATTCCAGGTCGCTTTAGTCTGAATGCTGTTGTGGGAAAAAGTTATTCAACTATACAGTACAGTTATATAAATATAAATGTATTCACTCCGTCGATACTTTATTCTTTGCAAAATAAAAGGAGAAGAAGACATCAACAGCCGTCACAGCATGATGTTTCTGGACTAGAC